CGCTAATAGCTGGAGCTGGAAAAGTTCTAACAAGAGAAGCATATATTCCAAAGTGTTAAAATGCGTCTCCTCCAAAAACCTTGCACAGGGACATCAGTGTGAATGATAATCAAAAGCCAGAACGTGCCCTCATATGCGTGCTTAACTTTATAAGGGCTCTTGAGAGGCTTCTTTTTTCCTCACACCATTTTCATTGTCTCTGCTCCACTGCTTAGAGGTTCAAATAATTTATCATCTGAATTTAAAAACAACACAAAATACCTGCTGTTTTGCCTTTGTCTCATTGGATAGGCATGCAGCATTATCCCAATAGGAGTTTAAGATGATAAAACACCAAGTGAGATAGAAGGCAGACTGAAATGGTTATATCGTCATTAAACTTACAGCACCCTTGGCCATTACAATGTATTTGTGCTATGCTGTAAGCCTCAAATGAACAATTTGAAAGTAAATGAATAAAAACAGTGCTATAGGTTAGAGAGGTGTTCATGTCCGCAGATATTATAGATTTAGAAGGTTTCACTATTCTTCTTAAAATTGTGTGTGTATGTGAAATAAAAACTTGATGGGTATTTTGGGAGTTGTCTTCCTTCCTTTTGGTGTGAGTTCAGAGCAGATAGAGTATTGTTTATGATGAAGAGAACATCCAAAACTATGGCTATACCTTCACACCATAACAGGGTCAGATATCACTCTGTTCTGGCTGTGCTGAGTGTCAGTCAGAAGCCAAATAAATCCAGCTGACGTGGCACCAGCTGGATTCATGCTGTTTGCAGTAAAACTTCTACAGGTTTTGATGAGCCAGGGGAAGCAGTGTTGTCACGTTGCTGACAGCTGAGTGTAGGGCCTCGCTTTGTTTAACTAGATACATTAGTCACTGCGGAGAACACTTTAAGATGTGTTAGAAGACATTGTCACTGCAGTGCATTGAAGAGTATTAGCAGAGCTTAGCAAGGCATCTGACCGTGATCAAATATTCCTCTTAAATTAAAAGCATGTTTAGGTATTCCGCTCAGCCTGTTCTTAGGTAGCTAATAATGGAGTTGGATCCTCTTTCTCTATTTTGAGGATGTCTTATTGAATCATGCATAGAATTATGTGACTAATTTGTGGAACAGAAGTCCCTGTGCATCAGCTGTTCACTGTGGTTTTCCTGGGGGGAAGATAGGACTTTTTATATTGAAAGACACTGATCATTCTTTTCAGCATATCAACGAACAAATGTACTGTAGGCTTTTCTATTGAAGAAAAAAAAAAAAATAGAACAAATGGCTTTTATCTGTATTTCCATCATTACATCTGCATAAATTTCACCGATGCTAATGGGACTTGTAGCAACATAGATAAAAGACAGTCACGCTGTCAATGAGATATGGAGCAAAACAGAACAAGGCACACTACAGAAGCAGGAGAGTTCATCCCTGTAAGGGCAACCTGCAAGCCTGTAACTCAGCCTGCTTAGAATAAACGATTGGCATGCAAAGTTAAGGCTCTCCAGAATGAAGTGCCTAACAGTGGGTAATGCAGTGGCTGTGCAAACTTACTGAACGCTGAACTTCTTTGCTGCCTAGATGGATCTTTTCAGAGAAAAAAGAGTTTGGTCTCTGCATCTGCTCTGCCATAGGCGCACATATGAAGTCTGTGATGGAAAGCACCCAGAAGGACAGTCCAAAAGGGCCTGGGCTCTGTGACTGAAAGGGTCAAAGAGGCAGACTTGTGGGATCCTGTAGAGATTAAGAAAGGAAAAGGAAAAACAGCAAGCAGCATGTTTTTAAAAGTGTTAGAAATACACGATAAAGGAGAAAATTAACAAAGAGCAATACGTTTAGTCCTCACGGCTGATCACAAATGGTAACATTATCTCTATGAGAAGAGGAGGAAGGAAGTTCTGGGGGTGGACCCTGGGACAAAGGTGTTAATTGGAGTGGTCTGATACAGAACACAGAATTATTTATTTCAGTGTAAGCCGCGGTGTTGACAAAGTCAGCATAGCATACAGTTAGCTTCGTTCTTTGACAGTTTCTGAAAGGATTTTGTCTAAAATAATGTTTGAGTTCTGTCCAAGTTCTATCCACAGACACTTGAAAACTGTAGACTAAAAGCAGCAGACACACTGACACTACTAATTGCTTTGACCTAGATTCAAATATTAGAGATTTTATTTTTTATCTTTTATTTTGCTATTTAAAATGGTATGGGTTGTCCTCTTTATTAGAGTAAGATACAGATTGAATGTTCAAAGCAAAGAAAGAAATTAAGAACTTACTATGGAAGGCTTTTCTAAAAGGAAAATTTTGCGAGGAATGGTTTTGATCAGCCCCTTTCCTAGGATCCCATCTGTAAATGCAGTTCTTGCACCTCTCGTGCTATCCAAGCTCAAGAAACTCAACATTGCCTTTAACACGCAAGTCAGAAAGGCAGGCTTTCTGTAAGATGAAGTGACTGCTGCTGGCTTCGATGCACCCTCCTCATTTTCCCTGGGGCTGTGTGATATTACCTTTACTGTCCTACAGCCTCTTTATGGTCTGCCAGCATTTTCTTTCTTGAAAAAACAGCATACTTGGGACATGTGCTTCTGAAAAAGCACTGTGTCGTAATCTGGTATATTTGGATATTTTTAAGTCCACAGAGAAAAATGGCAAGTTATCTTTTCATCCCAGAATATTCATAGTAAATAGAAAAACAAAAATCTTACCAGTCCTTACTGCCCAAAGGAAGTTCATAAATGGGATTCCTGAGTGTATGCAAATAAAATTAAGTTCAGAGGGATTGAAGAGGTATAGTTGAAGTTTGCATAATTCTACTTGTAGAAAAGCTACCAAGACTACAGTAGAAAAGATTGGCAGTGATTTGAAAGAATCCCTGCTGCTCTGGTAGGAAAGTGACCGCGCAACTTGCGGTGATTCAGTAGAACTTTGTTGTAAGCAGATTAGTTGCTGGCTGAGTGGACTGAAGAAGGTACAAGGCAATTTTCTTACAGGAATGTAGGTGTGAGCCTTTAAATAAAAAGAACTCCTGTTGACTTCAAAACTGAGTCACCAGCACTGATGAATTTTTGAAGAAGTCAATTTACCATCATTTAAAACTATTTTAGAATAGTTGTCAATTCTTTCAAAAAAAAGCATGTGCCCTTTCTATTTCTGCCTATAGATTTCCTAATAGATAGTGAAGCAGAACTGAAAAATCTGTGAACACCATGGAGACACTATTTTGTCAGTGTTGCATTGTGACATATTCATGATCTTTTTTTCTTTCCTTCCTTAACTATTTCTTTAACTTCCTTATTTCATTTCTGTTCGGTGTGTGTGTTCATTTTAGTGATAGTATAGTTCATCTCATAAGTTATTTAATGTTAACTTGCGAATACTACTCCGAAGCACCTAGCAAGCTTAATAACATAGTGGCCACCTAGTCGTTGTGCTTCCCAGGTCAGCATAGAACACAATAAATATATCGGAAGTACTTAGCATAAAACTATTTCATCAAAATGGCTATATAGTTTCTCTTTGTCAAAATGCCTACATGTTGGCTTTCTTTGCTGTTTAAATGCTGTTCTATTTGTTCCTAACTTCCCCTGTTTAACAGCAGACAAACCCAGGGAGCACTGAATGAATCGGATGATCCCGAAACAGGCTGTCTAACTGATAACAAGCCAACTTCTCGACACTTCTATCCTGTCGCCTTGCTGCTTGTCAGCTCACACTTGCTGGTTGTGTGGCTTATTTTAAGTCTTGCTTTGCTATTAGCCAAATATCAATAAACTTCACTTGTGTTCCTTTCTTTTCTACAAACAGTAACAAACTAACTTTAGAAAAAGGAATTATGCTGTAATATTTCTACAATCTCAGACCCCAAGGATTCGTCTTTAAGATACAAATGTCTGAAATGTACTATGTTTTTGTTATTTTTTTCTGAACTCTAAGAAGTATACTATGCATTGAGTGAATTGATTTGCTCTTGCTGTTCATGGTAAAGCTTTCCCACTGTAATTAGCTCAAAGAAAGCCCATTTACAATGCTGTCACTGTATACAAGAAGATGTGGAATCCTGAATGCTTGAACCCCTCTTTCCAGAGTAATTAGTCTGACAAAAAAAAAAAAAAGAAAAAAAATTAAAAATGAATTTGCACAACACAAACTAACCCCTAGACAAATATTACAGGGTGGTGGTTTGTGAGACTTAACTTTCATTGTGTTATTTTCATTGTTATTAGCTGATGGGATTTTTTTGTTTAACAAATGATTATTACTTTGCTACAACTAACCCTTTTCTGTCAAGTAACTAAATGGAATAGAGTAAGTTCTGTTTTGTAATGAAATTAACCTGTTTGTAATTGTTGCTTTAGTTGCTTTTGCTTTCAAGACACTTTTATATTCTTTTTAACAAAGTCCTGTTCATGTCTTGATGCACCACTTTGGCACTTGTGACTTTTGTACTGTATGTGAACAAACATCCTTCCTTTATAAAGCAGAGAGTTGGATTGGGCTGTTTGAAAAGCCATTCTCTCTTTTTTTTTCATTGCAAAGCCGAACATACGGGAAATGAAGCAGAGATGAAACTTTCCTTCACAAATCTCTAGGGCCAGACTTAATAAAATGCCTTATTCCTAAAATACGCATTTTTAGGGCAACGTGTACTCTCACACATACAGTAAACAATTTGAAAAAAGTATGAGAAGGTTTAAAAGTCAAATATATTTCTGGAATTAGAACAAAATATATCATTAAAGTATTTAATTTTTTTTTACTAAACTTTAAACCTCAAGGGCAAATATATTAGGGGGAAAAATCTTATCACCTATTTCTGAGGGCAATAACTGTACTGGGCCTGGCCTTGGATTTAATTTTGTAAGATGTATCATCACTTGTGGAAAACAAAAATGTAGAGTTGAATCTTTGTTATTTTTACTTCAACTGTTGCTGAAACTCTGCAATGAACAAATAAAGCATATTTATTTATTCTGTGTTTCATGAAGTTGTACTTTTTCCCCCTTTCACTAGAGAAGGATGCCGCATAGAGAATGTACTGAAGAATGTCAAATGCAGAAAGTATGCATTCAACATGATACAGCTGATGGCTTTCCCAAAGTACTACAGACCTCCAGAAGGGACATATGGAAAAGCTGACACCTAAGTTTAACAAAAATGTAATCAGGAACATAAATCACGCTAATTAGTGAATATAAAAATCGCTGTTTATGACTTATTAATTGGGAATGTGTAACCAGTTAAGGTGTTATTTTTATCAGGTTTTCTCATTTTACATTAAAATAACCCCAGTTAGTCGTTATGAAATAAAATATCATGAAAAAGCAATGGACTGAATATTCTCAAAACCAAATATATTCAACTTTTCTTTGTGAAGTTGAAGCTTACTATGACTCATAAGCCAGCTGGAATTAGTTTTTTGGGTTGTTTGATTGAAGATTAAAAAGAGAAATGTCTTTCGCTATAGGAACTGAGGTTAGCTATCTGGAAGGTGGCATTCTGACTCCAAACCAAAATCTGAGACTTTATTTAAGGAGTCTCTTCTGCTGGAAATAGTGTTTTCTGGAACCGGAGCACCGAGGTCTTGATCACTAATCATTAAATCCTTCACAGAAGTGTTTATGAAAGATGCTAATGTTAATACCTGGGCTAAATATAATTTTGGTAATTACATTTAGCTACTTTACATAAGCATGGTAACTTCATAATATGTTTTTAGTAATTACAGCCTGTAAATTCAGTAATTCCATTCTGATCCCTTGCAGTTCATTTGGATGTATCATTCTTGGCTTTCTGTACCACAGCCAAATAGCACTTATTTCACTTTCACATAAATCACATTGAAATCACAGGGATTAATTCTTCAAGTAAGGTGACCTGAGTTTGACCTGTCATGTTCCCGTTTACTGTAAACCCTTAAAACTAAATTTTCTTTAGTGGTAGGGAAAATGAGTTGTATATACTGGAGTTAATGTATCTTTAGGCTATAAAAACATGTATGTTTTTACAGAGCCTAAGATAAATGTAGTAATTATGAGTAACCTGCTGTATTAGGACTAGTTAGCCACTGCAGCTGATTTATATCAAATTTGTAATGCTGCATGTAGACGCTCTAGGATGAAGAACTATCAGCTTTAAAAATGAATGTTAATGCTTCTGGCAGCATGTGTTAGTCCTGAAATTCGTCTTGCAAAGAACATTTGTGTTTTCTAATTGTATCTATTTATTGCCTCCTTCTGCCTCCCAGAGAGAAATACAATTAAAAAACCCCAAGTATTCACTGCTTGCTGACCTTTATGTAATGCATTCATTTTGAGGAAAAAATATCTAGAGCAGAAGTGTGAGAATTTTATCCTAATGAAACTGCACTGGGAATTTGAGCATCTGTAGGAAATTGTAATTGCCATCGGTAAAGAAGTTAATGTTTGCTTGCTCCTATGGAAGTCAAAGAAATCTTGATGCACTGTGAGTTATAATTTGTTCTTTTTAATCCATTAATGCCCATTCCTGGGTATAAGTCTGTAACTACACTGGTAAAAATACATATTTAAGAGCCTGATTCTGCAAACTCTAATTGGGTGATTACATGGAAATGATCTATTGTATGAATAAAATTAAACCCATCTTGTATATTTGTAAGATCAGGCTTTGGGGCTTGTAGGAGAACATCAGGAGGACATCCTCATTCCAATATTCATTGACTTCAGGGAAGCCAGGAATTCATCTGTACAATATATTTACCTAACTAATTGGAACTTTTTTCAAAGTAAAGTTAGGTCATTTAGATAGTGTTTTGGTGCATTTGTTGTTTATTTCTATTATATAATGTGGTACCACGAATGACTTCTTTGTTCTTCTGGAATGTATTCCTTCAACAGATGTCAGAAGAGTTGGCATTGCATCATAGATAAGCTCAGGCAGATGAGAATATAATGCCTTGATTTTTTCCTGTCATGTACCAGTAGAAGTGGGCACTACTCATTGGGTGGGTGGACGTGTGCATAAATTTGTGTTCGGGTCTTTAACTATAACATAGCTAATCTGTACAAAACTTTTTTGTGGATTTATGGAACATAAATCTTCCTAGGAAAATAATGTTTTGTTCTGTCAGAGTGCCGCACTAGCCCTCGCTATCTGTTATGTTTATTATTAGCTTAAAAAAACCTACATGTACAGTTTAGAAATAGTGATAAAAGCCTCATGCACCTCTGAAATAATCCCACAGAAGTACAATTGAGAAGGCTGGCCTTCCTACAGTAGTTCCGAAACAATCTGTAAAAGTCTATGTGGGGATGGTATTCACTGATGGGTACTATAGGTTCCCGTAGTTCTTTATCTTAGTCCCATGGGCAAGTTCAAAATGTGAAGTTCTAAGATTTCTTTCTTATCAGGAAAACAGTCTTTCAAGATCTTGCCTCAGCGTTTTAATCCTACTTGGGTTCTAAATTGCCATTGTGACTATCATGTTACCTTTGTATTTAAAATGTTTTCCACATTGAAGCCACATTTTTGGAGGGGGAAAAAAAGATTAGAAAGGCATTGGATTACTATCCTTTTTGTTTTAACAGCCACTCCTAGTATGTTCTTGTGAAACTAAATAATCTGTTATTTGTTAAAGATAATTAAGGGAAAAAAAAAAAACAAAACCCACATCAGCGTGCTGCAGTGAAACTTCATTGGGCTTGGGCCATTACAGAAGAGTAGGTTGGGTTTTGTGTTAAATACGGCTGAACTTTTTCAGGCCATTTTTTTGATTGGAACGTCTTTTTGTAGGTCACGAGACCCTTGTAAAACCTGCTGACGCGGTTCCAAGTGTCCTAGAAGAGCCTTGTTGCTTCAGTACTGAAACAGGTTCAACTGTTTCCTTGTGTGGTTGTTGCCTGCAGTGGGCTACTGCAGTCCACATAGGCAAAGGCTGTGTCATCAAAACTGAGCTGTCAGCTAAGCATGGATTCAAAACCAGTGGTTTTTCTGGTTTTCCTTTTATGAAGAAACAAAGGGAGTTTTGCTGCAGGTTGTTAGTCAGGTTACTTGGAGTACATTTACTCTTTGTAGAAGCTGCTTCAAGCCCTGTGCATTGCTTGAATGCCGAACAGAGGAGTTAAATCATCCCTGAGGTCTTGCACGTATCCTTGTAGTTCACTGTGAATATCAGAGGAGTAAAATTAAGCAAATTAATTTTTACGAGCAAGCTACACCATTTGTTTTGCAAAGTGTTTGCAAAGGGAAACATACTGATCTTGGTGACGGATTCACAGAAAATGTTCCATATCTGCTCTCTTAAAACTTTTGTAAGGTATAAAATAATTTGTTTTGAGGGGAGGGCCATTCTCAAGGGCTAAAAGATGAACATGCAAAAATATAGCTGGCATCTAAAGCCAAATCTTGTCTTACTCACGGCAGATATTATTTAGAAATAAGCTCATCAGGATTTGCCTCGAGGAATCCTGAAATAAGGGCTTCTAGCTTTGAATATTTGTACAATGCGTTACACCCTGATACGGGGTTTTTGTACCACAGACTAGTGTCTAAATAGAGAGCTACAATAAAATGCCTAAAAAAATAAGGAAAGGAAAGTTAAAGTAATTTTTTTCTCAGAGGTGATTGTAATACTGTTTATAATACATAACATGCATAAGCCTGACATAATTAAGCAGGCAGGTCTTTTTTTCTGAAGTTTTCTTTTGGGGAATTTAAAACATGTTCTTGTTAATGTTTATACTTTGGCTTTTATGGAGCAATTAGGAAACAAATTTTTAATTATGTTATCTGATTTTTGTCTATGTGAAGCCGTGTATTTTGATGGAATACTAGCAATGTATGTATTATAAAGAACAAATAATTTAGGAGGACAGCTGAAACAAAATATTAACTGAGAAAGAGCCTTAATGAAGTCCTTTGCAATGTTAATTTTTGTACTGTCTGAATTTTGGCATTATGTAATAATAATAAGGAAATAAGGAAATTAACAAACACTTCCTGTGTCTAAATCAATCAGTCCTGATGAAAATTCACATATTTGCAGTGAAGTAAAATGTAATGGTATTCTAAATCATCGCTAGTAATTTAGGTGTAAAGAAGTGCAACTACCATTTTGAAGCCCACTGTATAATATGCCTATTATGAGCTTCAGAAAATAAGCTTATTTTTATTTCTAGTTTAAACACAAGTTCCAGGAAATTCTATGGTCCACTTAGAAAAAGCAGAAAATGCACTGAACATCAACTGGTGTAATAAAGAAAGAAATCGCATTAAAAACTATGCAGCACGATTACTTGCGTGAATTAATGTATGTAATCAGTTAACAGTCTTAAACATATATTGTGTCAGTTGGCTATGTTGTAAACTTGAAACCATTGGTATCTATATTTATGCTTTTTTTATTGTAAAGAAGTGTGCTGTACAGGCAATGCCATGAGACAGGAATTTGCATCTTGCTTTTCACTTATTTGCAGCTTAAAAGCAGATGTTTACAATCAAAGTGCTTTAAAGTAATTTACTGTTCTTCAAAACACAAACTTACCTTGTAAACTGCATGTTTAAAAAAAAAAAAAATCATACAAATGCTTTTTTTAAAGCAAAAAAGAAAAAAAAAGAAAATTCCCAGACTTCAATCTCTAGAACATTGGTTTTTTTCCTTAGTCCCGCAACACATCGACTGTTGTGTTGCCAGAGCATTCAGCTTACACTCTGCAGCACTCAAACATTTATTTGCTCTTTCTCTCATAGCATCTACTGAATAAGTAATATAACAACAATAAATTTCAGCATGATACTCATGATCCAAGATTAAAAACTTGCATTTGCTCAAATAAACATGAAACATAATACTTCAGAATAAATAAAATAGAAGACACTTGTGAATCAATGTATCCATATTCCAAAGAGCTGAAACATAAAGCATGGGGTTTGCCTGCTGACGGGGAGAAAGAGTTATGGTAGAAATCTGACTGTGATAATAGACCACCCTGGATCTGTGGGGTTTGGAGTGGTGAGATTTGGACCACACTGCTCTTACTTAGATCTCTAACTATTGGCAGTGGTGTTCTGTACTCTTTCCATGCATGCAAAGTACTTTAAAAGTTTTCAGCACTTCTGTTTTGTTTATGAATGGTCTGACTTTAAAATTTTTAAAATCCCGTTACT